TATGCTCCTTTACAGGTCAATCTGGCTGACTCCTGTTGTAGGGGAAAAATAGGATTATGTACTCCTTCACACCTTACCTACCAATACTGGGATCTGTGATCCCAGTGCTGGGGAGGGCTGAGATGGGATCACTGTGAGTCCGAACTGCATAGCAAGACCCTGTACCAAATAAAGATTAAAAAAAAGTGGCGATATACTATATTTTTCTCCACTATTTAAAAGCATAGAAAAATAGGATTATGTACTCCTTCACACCTTACCTACCAATACTGAGCCCTGCCATTTCTATAACTCCATGGCCCCCCTCAGGCTTTCTAACAGGTCCTTTTCATACACCCTTGCACTCCAATGGGTCCTAACGAAACCCAGGACTTTCTACTCACCGGCCTTTCTGACATACCACAGAGGAACTGGAGTGAGCTCAGGTATGTGTATGTGTGGGTTTCTATAAGATTTCAGAACAGGTAACTGCTTTATCACAGTCCACTCCAGCACCAATCAATTCTTACATTTTTAACCCAGTTCCAGAGTAAGATGAGAATCACTGTGGCACCCTCTCCTACCAAGTACAAGGTCATCCAGTGTGTCGCCAAACCACAGCATTTCATAACAAAATCGCTACGTCTCATGAAAGCAGAATTTCTTTATCTGGGATTATCATACAAATAATCCCACTCAGTCTGTCCTTAGTCTGTGCTGACAAGTAGAAGCATTTCTACTAGATCAACCAAACTTTTTCTTCTCAATCCATTCAAGTCTAATGGCAGGACTTGAATATGTCAACACTGGAGTATCTAGGTTCTCTGGAGCTTTTGTTTTCTGTATTAATTACAAGGTTGGAGGCTACTTTGGCTCCAGTAAAAGCAATGCCAGGTTTAAAAATCCCTCTGGTCATTATCAGGGCTAGGATTTGCCGGAAGAGGAATAGGTCCATGAAAGAATGTGAGAAAAGTGCTGCAAAGAAAGACTTGTAGCTGTCAGGTTGCCAGAGGTTTTCAGTAAGTCACTACCTCAATGAAGGCAAAGACCCAGCTGTGTCTCTATTCTGGTCAGGCGTCTGGCTGCCTCAGTCTATGCCACACCCAGGCCATACCACACTGAGTAAAAAGGTCTCTGAGAAAAGTTAATTAGAATTTAATTTTTTTTAGTTCTTTGGAAACTTTGGTTATTCATTATTAAACAGTCAGATCAGGTAAACCTTTTGACACTTTTCATAATTTAAAAAAAGCCAGACAAAAATAAGCCAGAAAACCTTTTAAGGTAGAATAGCAGTGTCCTTTGGGTAGTCAAATAGTTCTACATTGTGATAACTATTGTTCAGAGCTAAAGCATGTTGTCTGTTCAGCCACATTTCAAATACCATGTTAAAAATATTAGTACTTAAAAGTAAGTTTCCATATCTGTTAAATGCATTTATTTGGAATGCCATTTGGAACATGGGAGTTTATAATAAAGTTAATTCAATACTTTTCTTCCCCAAACCTGTTTGAATTAAATAAATCCTTTCCTAGAAATGTTCTCTCCCATAGTACTGACTGACACACCGTTAGATTGTTGTCATATTTAAAGCTTTGTAGGACAGCTATATGTTAGGCACTTTATAGGACTTATTTCACTGGTTACGGAGTTAAGTACTGTCATTCTGTTTGTAGAGTTCAAGCCCAAGCTTAGTGAGGCTAATTTGCCATAAGAGGGAGCTAAAGGATTAGTAGCAATGAAGGAACCAAACCTACAAACCCGCTTGTGTTCAGCAGAGCCTGAGAGAAACAAGATGCCGCTGTGCTGTGCCTGGGCTCCCCACCTTCCGGGATGCACCTTGACAGACACTGTCAGACACACACTCAGGGGAGATTTCACTTTATTGTTACATCAGTCTCACAAATAATCCCAACACAGCCAGAAACACTGAGTGGATAAAGTGCCATTGCAGAGAGGCCTGGCAACAGAAGGAAGAATCCAGCTCATTTCCTCCATGTCCCCAGCCTGAAAAGGTATTTCTGTTACACAGGAGTGAGGGCAGCTGATGCACCAGGTAATCTATATGATGGCCACTATGAGCTAAGAAATAGAAAATTTTACCAGGTGGGGTCTGTGCAGGGCAAGGAAACAGAAAAGCCAGAAAATACTCAAGTGAATCAGGCATAGAAATACCAAATAATAAAAATATTTTTCAGACTTCCCGTACTTGATTGAGGTGGGCATCTAATAAAGAATTACACAGGTCTGGTACTTCCTGGTGGAACCAGTCCTGTGACCTGGATACACATTATTTCTCCCACACCTTCTGAAGCACAAGAGTTTTCTAAGACTGGGAGGAACTGACCACTTTTTTGCCTTGCCAGCTCCCAAAAGTAGAACATCAGAGAGAGAAAGGCTATCAAGGTAGGCAATGGGGCAACAAGTGATGGTTAGTGAATTTCAAGACTTCCTGTATTTTATGGTTTGTGTCTAGTTGTCCACCCAAAGCCTCAGGTACGCCACGGGGCAGATACGGTTTGAGCAGTGCTTGGCTTGAGGGGCGTGGCCAGAGGACAGGGGCAGGTCTTGAGGGCTGGGGCCAGAGAGGGGAGAACTATTAAACTGGCAGCATGGCCATAGCCAGGCCTGTGGCTTTTTTTTTTTTTCTTTCATTTTAGGGAAGGGTCTCTAGGGGGTTCAGGTTCTCACTACTAGATCGGACTTGTAGTGATTCTCCAAGAGCTGGGATTAGAGGCCTGCGCCACCACGCCCAGTCTCAATTGCCATCTCAGCGCACCCCAGGGGTGGGGACGGCATGGCAGGCCAGGGATCAAAACCTGGGCCTCTGCACCTGTTTGCAGGTGCTTTAATCTGCTGAGCTATTTGGCAGGTCCTTGTGGCTTCTGAGGTGTGGAGTGGGTCATTTTAAACGCAGTTGCTGCCCAGCCTCTCATCTGGACCTCCTAGCGCGGAGTGGCGGTGCCTGCGATTGAGGCCACCTAGGGCAGAGAGGAGATGTTTGGGGAAGATGGTACTCTCAAAATGAGTCTGCCTTGGAGCCAGCTGAGTATGGACTGAAACCTCCAGTAACTAAGCTAAATAAATCTTTCCTTCCTTCATTTTGAGTGTCTGGTATTTGTCCCAGCAACAAGAGAAAAGTAACTGAGACACTGTAATTATCTTTAGACATTTTAAAGTGCTCTATCAAGCCTAGGGTTTAAAACATAATTATCTAGTAAGAGAATGCTAAGTGATTTGAATGTAATGAGATTATATCTAAACCCACTTCATCTGAATTGTTTTTACTCAAACTGGAAAATCACTAGCTGAGTTTTCAGAGACCAGGAGGATTCCTAAAGGTCAACTGATCATCTCTATGCCATATAATCCTGAATGAAAAGGCTCAGATTCAGCTGCATCTTTGCAGAACCTGCGAGTTCCTGGTCTTACTTGATTACAGGGAATCAAACAAGGATAAACCAGAAGGAATCTACAACATGTTCTACTTCTGGCCAAGAGTCAAGGCTCGGATTAGAACTTTCAAGTAGAGACAGAAGGGGTGAAGAATTTTAGCTCCATCCTAGGGTAAGAAGCAGGCCAAAGTGTTGCCATGACAGGTAGGAGAGTGTAGAGAGGCCTTGGTAGAAAGGAACAAAGCTTCCTAGGTAAGAAATGGGGTGTAGCTGGAGGCAGGCTAAAGGCTGAACAGTCCTAGAATCACCCCCGCTGAGCTTCAGGTGTGGCCTCCTCTACTATGGATGGCCTTGCTTAGTTTATTTCACTTGTTTTGTTGAGGCTGATAGAAAAGGAGCCCATTGGGTGACCCAGTGACAACTGACTGACTGGTTGTTCAAATGGGGGGGTCACCAAGTTCCCAGTCTTTAGGAGCTTCTGTGAGGTCAAATTCAGGGTTTAAAGAACCCTGAATTGGTAAGTGCAGTAACTGCATAATACATGAGACAGTACCTGGCAAGGTTCAAAGTGGGATGCATTGAACACCCTGAAAATCGCTGTGAATGAAGTATAGACCTGGGAATATCTTTTTTATTAATGTATTTGGTACAGGGTCTCACTACACAGCTCAGACTCATAATGATCCTCCTGTTTTCAGCCTCCTCAGCACTGGGGTTACAGGTGTGCACCACTATGCCTGGACTCTGTGGCCCGCTCAGCATGCCAGGGGCAGGGCCAGAACAGCATGTGGGAATGGGGATTGAACCCTGGTCCCTGCACTTTCCTAAGCAGGTGCTTAGTTCACTGAGCTATCTTGCCAGCCCTAGACCTGGAAGTATCTTTAAAGAATATAGCTGGTATTTTTCTGACTTGCCCAAACACTTCTGTAACTGAACTGAAGGGGAGATTCTGTTATAGATTAAATTAGTGTGCCTAAACCAACACCCAAAGAAACAACAACAAAGAAACTTCAAAAACTCCCCATGACTTTCCCAACCCTTTGAGAGGGTCAGACCATACTGGGCAGTTATAAAAGGCAGTTCTTAATACTACCAGCTTCCCTGCTTTTTTCCTCACATCCGAACAAAGCCGAGGAGTTTCCCAAGCTTCAGTTCCTTGCCTGGATGCTTCATTCCGTGCCTCCATCCCAGAAAGCTTTCCCCAGGCAGGTCTCACCACCACCTGACTACACAGTCTTCTCCCTTCTGTTCTAACCCTGCTCTAGGTTTTTTCATTTCCTTTCTCAACCCTTATTTCCAGATACTTGAGTCTCTGTTAGATATATAACAAGCTGGGTGGAAATACTGACTGGACCTTGGGAGTAAGATCAATGTTTTACAACCATGCCTAGATTTACTAAAGCCATCAATGCCGTCTCAGACAGAGATGATAATTCATCCGTCTTTTCTCCTTCCTTCTTTCCAAGAAGTTCAACCTCAATTCATATTTGTACCCTCAGTTTTTGGTGGCAGAAGAAGGCCCTAGGTGTAACAGTTTGGGTAGGGTGCTTGGCACACAGGAAGGAAGGCTACTGAGATCCTCCTGGCATTCATCTCCAAAACACATTCTTGCACTACTCTGCCCTTTTCACACAATCTCACCCCACTGCTGTCCTGTTAAGGCTTGAAAACAGGAGAGGCAGCACAGGAGCCTTGGTGTGGAAATCAGGTCTGAGTTTTAGGGCCTTCCTGTCATTGACTTAATACATGAATTTAAACAATTCACTTGCCTCTCTGGACCTTTGCGAAGTGTTCGGACTAGCTGACCTTTCTGAGTGCTTTCAGATCAGTTCATACCTGAGAAGTCAATGAATTAATCAGCAGAGATTCTAATTCTAAGACATAGATTTCCTACACCTCTTTGAAATAGCTGAAAGGAGGTAAAAATCAGGTTCCTATTAAATATTTAGCTATAGGAAAAGAAGCAGGTGTATCTATCAAGAAATAGAAACTGGCAGCCCCTATACTTGACTAATAAAAGGAAATTCTTGAAAGAAGCAGAGAAATAGGCCATAAGTGAGACCTGGCAGTGTCAAAAAGGGTCTATTAAATTAAGTGACCAAAGGAGTAAAAAACAATGGCTGTAACCAGACAAGATCTCTAAGCACAAACTACAGCCTAGAAAGGTCTAGGGGGGAAGGAGCCCCTGGAGCAGGTATTGGAAGGAGGGACTTGGTCCACAGCAAGTTGATTCTGCATTTGGTTCAAACTCAGCTTTCTCAATCTGTCAACCTGGTGTGTGCACACGTGCGTATGTGCACACCTCTTGCAGGCTGCAGTTATGCTTCTGAAGTGCTGCAATGAGAAAGAAGAAATGACACCAAAGTCAAAGGACTTAGGCTAAAGGCAAGTCAAACACTGGTTTTTAGAGTTGCTTTTCTCTTCCACCACTCTGTGGTTACCCTACTGCTCATTCTGAGATGGAATGGTGAATTCTCAGAGTGCGCAGCAGTAGATTTGATGATACGACTAAAAGCCAAAAACAGGATAAAACCCACATACTCTCCGAGATCGCCCCTCCCCAACTCATGTCACACAGATTGATTTCACCTGGCCAGTCTGGGCACTCACTTGTCTTCATTCAAAGAAATGGTCTCCACAAAAGGGATCTCTTCTTTGTCGGTCTTCCCCATGATCAGCCGGTGCTTATCCAAGTTTATGATGCACTGCAAACAAAGGAGAATCACTGCTGTCCTTGAGACCATTATGCGTTCCCATGTGAGAGAATCTTTGTGTCAGAAAGGGAGTGTCAAAGGGAGAGTACAGCCAATCCTACCTTCAGGGATCGGAGAGTCTGGAGACCAAGGGACAAGTTTTTCTCACTGTCCTCTAATGAAAACAAGATTAAGATTTAGCTATTTCTCTACTGGGTTAGAAGTCAGTCTGATCACCACCAGTTCATTCCACTAATCTACCCACCATCTAGCAATCTGCCCAGCTAATAAAAATCAGCTGAGTATTTGTTGTTAAGTAATTTTCTTATATAGTTAAAAGGTGATAGAACAAGATACAAACAGAAGTTTTTTCACCGCAAAGAACAGCTATGTTTCAGTCAAAAACCAGGAACTAAGCATAGTACAGAATGTATGGGAGGTGTAGGAAGTATGTCAGAAATTATCAAGGGAGGCCGGGGAGATGGCTCAGTGGATTAAGCGCTTCCCTGGCAAGCACAAAGGCTTGAGTTCAATCCCTGGTTCCACCAAAAAAAAAAAAAAAAAAAAAAAAAAATTATCAAGGGAACCATGAAAGTCATACGAGTACACTGTCTCTGCTACCAACTAGTTCATGGAAAGCTCTCAGGGAACATTTTTACCTACGCCACAGTGTTTTATTATTATTTTTTAATGTATTTGGTACAGTGTCTCACTATGCAGCTCAGATGTAGTGATCCTCCTGTTTTCAGCCTCCCCAGTGCTGGGATTACAGGTGTGTGCCACCATGCCCAGTCTTGGTGGTCGGCTCAGTGCGCCTGGGGGCAGGGCCAACGAGGCATGTAGTACAGAGTGGTTTTTTGTTTTTGTTGTTGTTGTTGTTGTTTGTTTGTTTCATCAATTTTAAAATCTGATTTCTACATTCCATCTTCTGATTCTCAGCATGTCTTGAATATAGCTGAGGGCCCATCTGGCACTTTGGAGGGCTAAACTGAGCCAACTTCTATAGCACAGAAAAATGGGAACTTGGGATTTTTGAAGGAGTCAGTATCTACAGACATGAGATCTCATGAGGGCTTACACTAGAGTTCTTAGGTCCGGCCTTCACTTTTACTCACCAACCACAGCTGCTGGGCAGTCCAGGCGGAAGGATCCCAGGGTGATCACGAGATGCTCAATCTGACCCACTACTTTGAGATGCCGGGGCAGAGAAAGCTTTTCTCCTTCATGCTTGTGAGATTTAACATGCTCCTTGAGTCTGCATCACAGAGAAAGATATCTTGGCAGAAGTTTCTCATAAACCCACCAAAGCCTGCCTTCTGACCCACAGCTGGACTTCTCTAGGGATTTCCTGGGATTAACACACCAAAATGAGCTAGGCAGCCTATTCTTGTTTCAGTACTCAGTCCTAAATATGACAGGGAGACAGTTTAGAAAAATTAAAGATTTAGGGCTGACCAAATAGCTCAGCAGATTAAAGTGCCTGCAACCAGGCACAGGGGCAGGGGGTTTGATCCCCAGGTCTGCTATGCCAGCCCTGCCCCCAAGACAAGCTGAGATGGTGAATGAGACTGGGGGTGGTAGGGCACACCTGTAATCTCAGCTCTTGGGAGGCTGTAAACAGGCAGATCATTACGAGTCAGATCTAGTAGTGAGACCCTGAACACTCGTACACCCTTTCCTAAAATACAAAAATAAATAAAACAAAAATTAAAAAAATTAAAGATTTACTTCCTATTTCCAATGTATGTCACTACCTGCACTGATGAAGGAGGGGAGTTGATACATTGAGAGTTCTATCCTAGCCTGCATCCTAGCATCCTTACCTGCATGTGAGACAAGTGTAGTTAACAGGTCCTTTTATCTATCTGTGATAATAGATATCAGGAGGCAGGTTAATCCTAATTTTAGAAAGTGCTTTGTTTCAATGTCCAATGATCTTTATATTTCAGTCTATCCTCATTTTAGCGGAGGGAAGTATGTATTGGTACTGATATTGCTATCAGAAAGGAGTATTATGGAGAAGGTCTTTATTAATTTGACTTGTCTGTACAGGAAGGAAGGAAAGAAATAGCACCACGATTTCACATAGTTATATAAGCTAAGTGGAATAGTTAGCACTCAGGCTATTATGGGTTGGTGGATAAATAATTATGGATCTTCTGTGCCAATACTTCTACTTTCTTCTATTTCCTCTCTTTTAGCATTACAGCCCATCCAAAAGAAAAATAATTGCAGTTGTACAGATGATGATTAATTCCCTGGAATCATGGTAGTCACTGCCTAATTATGCATCAGGACATTATTATGCTTTCTGGAGCCAACATGTTGCACCATCTCTTCACCCCACAAAAGAGCACAGGATTCTTCCCACGAGAGCACTTGGGTCCTGAACTCCCCAACCCCCACCCTAGAGAGCAATGCACAAAACCCTAGAACCAACTTCAGAGTCACGGGGGTGACTCACGGGGGTGGCGAGGGGTGGAGGGTAGAGGACAGGGTGACACAGAAGGAATACATCATGTGGAGGGGGCACTGATTATACACTAATGAAGCTCTGTGTAAGCCTTATACAATATAAATATCTTGACTCGCTCAGAAAGGCCATTATGTCTGTCTTGGTGATTCTTGGTGATTACTGTAAACAGAGATTTGGGCCAGGGGAGTGATTTATTGTACTTGAGACAAGATAATGAAAATATGGGTTGATCATATTGATTTCTGGCTGGACCTCAGAGCCCATCTGATTCTTTTGAAGAAATAAAAGAGACTGAATGAAAAGAAGACAAGACACAGAATGGCTTTCTAATTCTAGGCTCCACAGATCTGAAGACATTCAGTGTATTAGATGTCTGCCTCGCACTCATTCCCCGGCATGGCAACAGGAAGATCTGACCTTACTCTTCACGGAGAGGACAGAACCTAGCACACTCCTAGTTAACTGCCCACTGAGAATAGCAAGAGCGGCCTTTTCTTGGTTCTGACTAATGCTTCTTGGAGACAAGCAGTGTATTCTCCAGAAGTATCCTGAAAAAACCTAAGGGCAACCATATTCCCACTTTCATCCATTTGGGGTAAAACAATGAGCAGTTATTTTTAATTTGCTGTCTAGTGGGTAGAACAGGGTATACACGGAACCAGGAGCCTCACACTGTTTTATTCCAGAGCTGGAGATCTCTACTCAAAACCTAAGAGTTGAGAGAAAACCCAGTGCTTTCCAGCTTATTGATCTCTCCCAGTTGCCATGCTGCCCACTACTCTTTTTGTCTGCTAAGGACTGTGGTTCCAGCAGAGATCTAAGCTTTGCATATTTCTTTTTTGCTTCATTGGAGACCCTCACCATCTCTAGCTTCAAAAGAGATTCAGGCAAAGAGTATATTCACACCTGACTTCTACACACAAGTGGCAACTTACCCCAATCTGTCCACACAGGCTGAGGATATAAGATTATACTGACATCCTGTGTCAATCAAGGCTTTCAAATCCTTTCCAGCACACTGTGGGAACGAAGCATACTGTTAGTAGGAAGCAGAGAGTAAAAGGGAAGCAAGATGCAGAAAGCAAGTAGTAGATGTCAAAGAAAAAGGTTGGAGAATATCCTCTCATTATGGGTTGGTGGCATCCACTGCTAAATCTGCCACTGATTGGCTCTTTTTTTCTTCAAAATTCAAGGCTAACAAAATATCCCAAAGGACTTTAGGTGCTTCATTCTATATACCAAGTAGCTCTTAATCTTTTTGTTTTAAATCATATTCTCCTTTATAAATCTGAGAAAAGCCTTGGTCCTTTTCCCCATAAAGATGGACATGCATACAAACATTGCATACGTTTCCAGTGTTGTATGGAGTACCACCTTTAAAATTCATTTAGGAATTCTATAAGACTCAGAATGTCTAAAATTTAAAGAAGAGAACCTATTATTCATATCATAAAGGGGCCCAAAATCTACTTTCCAGAAAGCCCTGGGAAAGCTATTCTCTGAACATTACCTGGCAAGAAACCAAAATCATGTCATCATCCTCAGACTTCTTTAGTCCTTCAGACTTAGCCTGATTGAGTTTGTTGGTCTTGGAGGCCCAAGGAACACGACTGCTTCGTAGCTTAGACAGGTTGGTTTCCATGAGGCGCCTCTGCAGAATGTTATGAGGTTGCTTGAGAACAGAAAGCAGAGGCTTTTTAGTGACAGGCTATACCATGCTTCTCCCACTATCCCCTAAGTACTACAGAAATAATGAAGGAGGCCCATGTAACTGAACTCTACCTTTTCTTGTTTGTATTTCTCTCACTGGTATTGTCAGCCAGGTACTACAAACCAATTTGCAATATGCCACCATGAATGAATGAAAGCCATGTACAATGTGCAAATGTGGACAGCGTTAGTTCAGCAGAACTAGAATGAGCACATCCTGGTGATGTTGCCTACTGACTTCCCTCTCCTTTTTTTTCCCTCTCCTTATAAGCAAATTTCAGAGGAAAAGTGGCCTTAATCTAAAATAAGTGCAATCTGCATCCTTCTAGACAACTGTGTATCTGTAGAAAGGGCAGTTCATGCCCAGAAGTTACAAAACTTACTACCTGTAGTCAGAAGCTCTGCTTACTTTCATGTCGTCTCACTCTTTTGCAGTCTTATCTTTTATACCTAGTCTGTAGATGATGTCTTGGTGGCTGGGCTCTTCTGTGAGCTGAACCACCCAGAGTGTGGATGGGGTGGGAAAATTCTGACCTCTTGAGCAAGTCTTTTAACAGACATACCTTGTAACTGTGCAGAAGCCACAGAAATCACCTTTACTAACAACCTCTTGCCCTATACACGTTCCCACCCTTTTACAAGGCCAAAATTGGGGGTTGTAGGAGCAGATACTGCCCAAGAATCAGGAGAAGATGTATGCCAGGATACGTAACATTATGAAGCAGAATGAGTAGTGTGAGTTCAAGTCTGCTCTTTGCCCGAACGTAGGATTTTTGTGCAGATGTATTCATGCTCCACCATTCCTACTCAAACTGGTCTTCAGAAAAGTTAAGGTATTTTTGATAAGAAGTCACCTGACTTGAGAAATCTCTCTATATAACCATCCTATTCCAACTCTGCAATAACATTTAACATCCTTGAAAGGATGGAGTTTAGCCTTAAGTTTATCATGTACCTTCTCTGATTCTAGCAGTAAAGGAGTCCCTCCTAGAAGCCCAGGGCCTAGAATATTTCTGGGGAAAGTGTGACAGATTTCTATGGAAGGATGGAGTTAGAGCTATGACTCATTTTTTTTTTTTTTAATTTTATTTATTTATTTGTGTGTGTGTGTGGCCAGCTCAGCCCACCAGGGGGCGGGAGAGCTATGACTCATTTTAACCCTGATGAGTTGAACAAACAGGTACTCAGAAAACTGATTCCTGGCCAAAAAATAATAATCTAATTCTCAAATTCAGTAGACATTTTCAGCCTTAACTTAACTTCTTTAGTATATTGGCCTGGATTCTTTGTTTCCTTTTCTTTGACTACCACAGTTAATATGTGGTTAGCACAAACACAGGCTAAATGTAAAATATTCAAACGTCATTGAAGTGGTTCAATCCCTGAAGGTGAAAATGCCTCCTTAGTCCCAATCCTTACAAATAATGAGTATTAAACTTAGAAGTATTTCCTTCCAAAAAACCACCTTTATACACATACTCAAATGTCAGATCATATTATCATACTTCTGGAATGTTCTATCTGTATTTAATACATGAAAGCATTTTTCTATGTCAGTACTTAAAACTGCTTTCATTCACTCTCTTAACTTTATATTTCCAAGAAGTATTCGGAGACAGGAAATTCACAGCCAAAACCCCACATAAACCTCAGAAATGTTTTTCTCTGTCCATTTCACTATGCTCACAGGTTTTAAGTGACAACAGAGCTGCACATACCTTCGCTCCCACCAAAATTTCACTAAAATGATAGAAAAAGGAGTAAGAAAAACCCAAACCCATAAAGACAAAAATAACTGTTAAGTAAAAAATAGATGTGACAACATTCTGAAATCTGAACAGAAAGAAAAGCAGTAACTGATCTAGACTAGAGGAAGCTGAGTGCTTTGCATCATTTTACTTCCCAGAATGCAGACGTGACAGAAATTACCAGCTGCTCATTAAAGTCCTTCTTGTCTTCCTCCCAGACAGATATCTAGAAGATACATCACATTATGTTTTCTTTTATACAGTTATGCATGAGCATGTGACTTGAGTCCTAGGGAATGGGATCTGAAAAATGACAGTTACCATTTCCAGGACTGGATCCTAAAACTCTCCTCAGCATACCCCTCCATATGCTTTTCCCCTTCTGGCTAGCTGGATTGGTGTTGACTCCTATGGTAGCCTCCTCCTTTACAGGCCACATGTTAAAGACAAAAGAAGACAAAAGAACTACTGTCACCCTGGATCCATAAATGGCTGCATGGAAGAGGGCTATCTTGTTGAGTTTTTCACTAGTATAGTCATATCTCAGTATCCATGGACCCAGTACATATAAGCAGACATTCAAGGATGCTCAACTCCTTTAAGTAATATAATTTGCTCACATCTTCTCCTATACTTTAATTCATTTCTGGATTATAATACCTATCACAATGTAAATGCTATAGAAATAGTTGCTATACTACGCTATTTATACTATTTAGGGAATAATGACAAGAAAACGTTCAGTCCAGGCATAATTTTTAAAATATTTTTATTTTGCATTTGATTGTACCTGTGATACAGAAACCATTAATACTGAGGGCTAACTGTATTATTAAGAAAAATAATGTCATATACATATATGAGAAAATAGTAAAAGCAGCTTCCCCACTCAAACTAATACCTGGAAAGGTTGAAGGGTTAGAAATTACTGGAACTTCTACTGTCAAAGATTGATGTCAGGGTTGGAAACAGATGAGTTTACAGCCTGCATAAGATTATCTGACTCAGACAAGTGGGGAGCATACCAAAAGTTTATTCTTTTTCTAAGAGTAAATCGAAAGACTGGCTAGTTATTTTTTTTGTTTTTTGGTGGGTTTTTTTTTGCAGAACCAGGGATTGAACTCAGGCCCTTGCACTTGCCAGGGAAGCACTTATTCTACTGCACCATTTCCCTGGCCCAACTTGTTGATATTTGGTGATATTTCAAGGTTGATATTTGGTGGGTGTTCAGATTCCTAGAGCAGCTAGTATTGTGGAGTTCCATAGTAAGAACTGAAGGACGTGAGTTTAGAGATTGAAAAGGCCCACACAGAGCCTACTTTAATGAAGGAGAAAAGATCCACATCAAGTTTTCACATCACTGTGGAAAACAATGGAAAAGATTTCAAAAAGAAAAGGACAATCCAAATACAGAGGACTAAGAACCAGAACGTTACAGGACTACTCAATAGAAACAATGGATGCTAAAAAACAATGGAAAAATACCTTCAAAAATCTGACAGTACATAATCTGTACACCTAAACTATAATGGAAATTTGAGAAAGTTATTTCCTTTACATCCTCAAGAAGCTACTGAAAGATGCTCCACAAAAATGAGGGAAACAAAACCATTAAGCAGGGGCTGGTGAGATAGCTCAGCAGACTAAAGCGCCTGCTGAGGCAAGCTTAGGCAAGTGCAGGGATCATGCACTTGGCACCACATGCCCAGGGTGGGCTGAGCCAGCCAAAGTCTGGGCTGGGGTAGTGGTGCACTCCTGTAATCCCAGCACTGGGGAGGCTGAAAGCAGGAGGATCACCACGGGTCTGAGCTGCATAGTGAGACCATGCAACAACAAAATACATTAAAAACAAACAATAAAACCCAACAGAGAAGTATGGGCTCTAAAAAATAAAGGATCCAATAGAAAAGAGACATAAAGCAATTCTGGAATGACATAGGAGGAAAAGTCCAGGATATAGGCTGTCTGTCAGGCCTTCTGAGTAGCCAGTTCAAAACAAAATAAAGTATGTCTCAAAAAAATAATTGATCTACTAAATCACCTACATTTTTAGGGTTCTTAAAGAAGATTTAAATTTAACATTGAAAATTAAGTGGCTAGATGTGGTGGCAAATGCTTCTAAGCCTAGCGCTCAGAAGGCTGAGACAGGAAGATCATTGTGAGTTTAGGTCAGTCTGGGATACAAAGTGAGCTCAAAAAAAAAAAAAAAAAAGTGAATTCAAAGCTAGCCTGAACTACATAGTAAAACCCTGACTTGAAAAGACCAAAATAATAATAATAATAATAATCTTAGGAAATTAATTTTGAGAAAAATAAATATTTATATGAGAAAATACAATCATAGTACATTTGCCTTAGCTGTAAATAATATGAACATACTCATAATAATTAAACAATACATACAGGTTTGACTCAAAATATTTAGAATATTAATATAATAGAAGGGATGTGATAGAAAAGTGTGAAAGAACGAAAATTTCATTTTATCAAAATCAACAGATAATCATAAATCAATAAATCCAGAAGTAGCAGTATCATTTACTTAGAAACATGGTGATCCTCAACACAAGCAGTAATTTTAAATTTAAGTTTTAAATTATATACATTTTTTAATACAAATAAAAATATATGTCCCATAAAACAGTCAACAGTTCAGCCCCAAATAAGGTCAGATGAGAGCGGCTTAAGTGGGGGTTTCCTTTTTTCACGTAACCAGAAGTCTGGATGCAAGCACTGCTAACCTTAACGTGGCACATTAACAACTCGGGCTACTGTCTGTGCAATTCCCTTGCTGTATCCTCATGGTCATGAGATGGGTGCCCAGCTGAAGAAATTACATCCATGTTCACGAAATGAGGAAAGAGGAAGGCACTGCAGTTCAGTAGTGCCACTGTCCCTTTTAGCAGCACAGCAAAAGCTTTCTCTGAAATGCCCTCAGCAGTATTTTTGCCTACATGGCCATTCCTCGCTGCAAGAGACCTTGGGACACAATTTAGCCTTCCCAGTTTCTATCAAGAGGAATCTGACAGATAGAAAAGGGCAAAGAATGGGTGACGATTTGGACAACAGACAGTGTCCGCCAGATCATGCCAAAACTCAACTGTATGTGCCACATGCGCACATGTGTACACCACCACGCAAACGCAATGTAAGGTAACTGCCTAAGATGCCACATAATCCTATAACTAGTTTAGCACCTGTTTCTCACGTTTGT